GTATCATTACATGCACAGTGATACTCTATGCCCAGGGAAGTTGAGAAAATTTCCAACCTGGGAATGGAACATACTGAGTTCTTAAGGTGATACGATTCAGCGTCCACAAATCATAAGCACTTTCACTGCCACTTCGAGTTTTATAGGAAGTTAATCTCGGGCACTATTGCGATTTGAGGCACTAAATTGTCATCACAGTTTTGTTATTGTTTGTTTTCCGATAGCAGATAATGGCCTCCTGGAAAAAACGAAGTGGAACCGGAGCCCGAGGATCTGGATCGTATCACCTAAAAACAATTTCTATGTAAAGATCCCTTCAGACCCATCGCGTTTGTCATAGTGGTCTTCGGTTTTTTGTTCATGATTCCGTTATAAAAAAAAATATGGGACTTTGAACAGTTATCTGAAGTCTATGACTTGGAAAATTGGTAACTACACTGCAATGCTCATTTCTGTTTGCAAACTTTGTAAACATATCAAACGGAAATGAATAAATAGTGTATTACTGAATTATAAGTGGGGATGGGTGGCATTCACTAGCCCGAGAATACCCTCCACATGCTAGCCTCTTCACCAACCCAACTATACATCAGTACACACTTATCGAGTAAGTAATTTTTACCGAGTTTTTGAATTGCGGAACTCTTCGGTAAAATTTAAAAAATCTGTGAAAAATTCCAAGTTAAGAAAATGTGTTACGAAAATTTACAGACTAACTTCTGTTAACCCCGTGTAATGATGAAAAATAAAAAAATTCGATTTTATCCAACCTTTACGAATAACAGTCATTTGAATTTTTACCGAGTCAGTAATCCAAAAGTCCAGTAAAAATACTAACTCCTGTAAAAAAGTCTAAGTGTGTATACAGAAGCAGTGGAGCTCCACACTCCTTCGTCGAAACAGCACCGCAGCTGAGCTGCGAGTGCTATGAAATAAAAAGGACATCGACTTATTACCACTACCTACTTCTCTCCTATCCGCTCTCAGAATTCGCCGATTCGGTGTCTCTCGTTGTGCTTTCTGCTGAGACTGAGCAATATTCGATACCGCGAAACACCTCCGCAGTTATCTTTTCTTTCGGCGCAGGAGATGTGCGGTAATCAAAAGTTAAGAATGTAGCTAAACATTTACAATAACATTCTACCAAATTTTCATATGCGTAGTCCACTACAACAGCCGAACGTACGAACGAATAGGGTGACTATAGCGCATTTTAAGAAAACGTCACAAGTTTTTATGGCTGTTTTAAATCAATAATTACGAAGAAACCATAAAGCCTACAAGGTTACTACCAAAGGCACAAATCTAGGGAACTGCATGGAAAATGTTTTGTAGAACAGCTAAATAAACAGAAATGAAAATTTTCAACTTAAAAACACTAAAATGTATGAAATTTCACCAGTTTCTTTGGTACTTTCAACATACTTTTCAATTTTAATGTATGATAATTAACTTTAATCGAGTTCTTTTTCAAATAGCATTGATAGCTAAGACTTTAATCTTTCATTTAGTATGTTAAAATCAGAAAACAACATTAAGATTAAAAAAATATAGCTAACCAAAGTTGGCAATACAGAAAAACATAAAATGTTGAATAACTCACTTAGCAGTCATTTCCGACCCTATGTTTCATGGGGATTTTTTCATAACTTTAGGAGCCCTATCTACCCTGAAAATATGTAAAACCCGGAACCAAACACCCTGTATAATAGGTCCTACCATAACGCATTTTTTTTGGTCCAACCATGAATGAAATTCTTGCTGAATAAAATTTAACGCTTTTCATCTTTATTTTGTAAAATAAATCTTTCTTCAGTATTATTAGAAACTAGAAAGGAAGACTTTTTCACCAAACACACATTTTTCATGTCCATATGATACGGGAAATGGATGTAATGTCGGCCTAACTGTCCCTAATTTGGGCCCATACATAAATTCAGCAATCGACTAAATTTTCAATAGCGACCAAAAACATCCATTGGTACCGTCCCAATGACGCGTTCAATCTACATAAAATTGATAAATAGGAGGCCCAATCTTTTTTTTTCCTTAATTTGTTTTCCGTCGATCTTGTTTTCCGTGCTGAGCATCAATGCTACCGACACCAGGGAGGCAGCTTCCACACCTGGACCCTACCTATCGACCCATCAACTCATGAACCGGGGACCAACGGCTTTACTTCCCACGTGATCAGAGATGTTATGCCTCAGAACATCCCGGCGGCGCCGACTGGGAATGAACCCAGGCCTGCTGGGGTGAGACGTAATCACGTTTACCACTACACCAACGGCGCCACTATAGGCCCAATCTTAGATCCATAGGCCAACATTAGAGCCATTTCCCCTATATGCATAGAAAAAACACGGCATACATTTAGACGCAGTGTGAAAATGACATCAATAGGTCCAACCAAAATACATTTCCCTAACACCTTAATACAACTAATTTTCGTTCTCCTTTCAGTTGCGTCCACATAACCGACATCGGTGTCGGCTACATTTCGACGATGCTCTCCCTGTCGGCCCTATTTCTTCGCTGGTGCACGCAAATCCGCGACTTTGGCCTGCAACATCTGTGTTCGATGCGCAACCTCCAAGTCCTGTCGCTGGCCGGTTGCCCCCTACTCACCTCTTCCGGCCTATCTAGTCTGATACAGCTACGCCATCTACAGGAACTGGAACTGACCAACTGTCCGGGAGCATCGCATGAACTGTTCGACTACCTAAGGGAGCACTTGCCGCGCTGTTTGCTAATTGAATAATTAATCGAATCGTCGTTCAGTTGGTTGAAGTCGTTTCTGTTGTGTTTTCTTGTAATCCTTATGTGAATAGACGGCAACCGTGTTTGGAACTGTTTTGATAATCGTTAGAATATCCAGTAAATCTATACGGAGATTAGTGGAAAATAAAAGCAAGTAACTTTACCTGAAGCAAGCAGAACCTACGCATCGCTAAAATTAAGACAAAATGCAAGTGATTAAGGATAAGTTGACAAATTATTTATAACGTAAAGCCATACCTAAGAGACTTTGTAGGTACTTTTAATTATTTATAGTGTTACACTTTGGCAATTACATTGGAACTATTTTGGAGTGCAAATGTGAGAGGTATCAATGAATAAATATTTTTTTTAAATAATATCCCGGTATTTAAAAAAAAGTAAACGAGTGTTTCAAACATTGGTATTCCTTCATTCGAATTAATATTCTAATTTGCCTGTAAAGCATTAGAAATGGTAAGATACATGAACTTTTATACTTTACAACTGGAATTTGCTATTAATAGAAACTAGCTAAGATATAAGGCATGCACGATTTGGAACCCAAAAAACAATTTTAGTTGGTCAATCTACGAATTTGTTAGTTGGAAATGAACGGAACAAATGTTTAATCAAAAACTTTATTGAAACAAATCGGTAAACTGCAACCAGTATTTTCCTTTGATGTAATTACACTCAAAACATTCAAACCTTTGCAAGATTTGTTCCGAAGATAGTGTGGGAAGAAACACGGTTACGACACCAAAATATCAGTTTATCTTGTCGAAGCTAGTTTCCATTGAACAAACTCTAATGGTGTCGAACATTCTAATAATTATCCTCCATCTCCAAATGACACACCTCTCTTCCAATTATTTCTGTTACATCTTGAAAATACAATGTGCGATGGACACACATTACTGCATTGTTGTCAAACAAAAATTCTCAATGTTACGGATACGTGTTCGAATGTTTAAAATGAAACCCTTGTTTAGAGTATTCTAATAAACATTGCCGGAAGTAAAAAGAAACGAAGAATGATTGTAGTAATGCGATAATGGCTGTGTAGATATAAATTGTGTATAAAAATCATTTAGGTTACCTTTACATTAAAAAGTCAGGTCTGGCGAGAGTGCAATTTGAGTGGCACCCCGTAAAAGAGTGCATACTAAACGAATTTCTGAATCGTTTTAATACAAACAAAAACAAATAAAGCATTATTTAGTTTACCAGAGAGCTAAACACATAATTTAAAAAAGCATAGCACTGAAATCGACTAGAGAAATACACATTACTAAATATAACAAAAAAAAAAAAACAAAAAACAAACTTGTTACAACAAATTGACTATTGTGAAGACGTTGCAAATCGATGGGAAGAGAATATGATGTAAATATTTTTTTAACTGTAAGTGGAAGATGCCAGTTGTTGAACGTATTGTAGAGTTCTATTAAATCAAACCAAAAACCAACTTAAAAGTCCTTAACAGTTTTCTTACCAGTAAATGCGATCCTAACGATATTAGCAAACCAAACTGTAGTACGACTAACATTAGAAACTAAACTCAATAGCCCATGATGAAGAACAATGATACGTCGTGACGAGAATAGTAAGTGCATTACCTATTCTAGTAAAACGCTAACCAAAGTCGAGGTGAAAGTAAAAGAAAGACCGCCCAAGTCTGACTGATTTTTCGAGCTCCTTATTAATAGAAGATTCGTCATTCAAAAACATAAAAAGTCACATCCCTCACACTAAAATCCTTAGGCGCAATTACCCATTTCGGATACCAAATCACCATTGATCGATGATTATGCTGCTTGTCTCTTATGGTGGAAGCGTTAAGCAGGATTATATTTTTTACCAGCCCTTTACCAGATAGACAATGTGTCAAATGTTTGGCTTAGATCGAATTGAATCGATGCGAATTTAATCCTGCTTGAAGCATCATACGACCGCCAGCGTCTGTTTGATAACGTGAATCGTCTCGAAGTAAAAACGTAAACAGATGACTACTCACATCCTTTTTGCTATTGAAAGCGTTTTTAAGAAAACTGATAAACAAAAAAACTAGTAAAGGCGATTATTTCCAAGAAATGTAATAAATAGTTCTATATTACAATAACTATTACATGATAATGAAATAAAATAAAACCAGAAAGCTGATACCAAGACACATTTTACAACTCTTTCATTCATCTTCTTCTTCCACGTCTTCGTCCTCCTCTTCGGCTTCCTGTTCTTCCTCGCCGTCTTCTTCCTGGCTTTGGGTAACCCACCAGGATAGCAAGCCCAAGCCGGACTCGTTGATCGCAGCCATAATCCGATAAGGGGTTTTATTGGCGTCCGTCGTTGTCGTACTTGTACTTGGAGCTTCCTGATCAGGTGGGCCAATTGGAGAACTTTCCTCAAACACTTCTCCAGAGACGCGAAACTTAATATTTTCGCCAATGTCCATGTAAAGATCGTGCTTTTTGCCATCCTCCAGCGGGTATTCCCAAACCCAAGCCTGCTCGGCTTCCTCGAACCGGGAGGGATGCTGTAGTGCCGATGGCGGTATCAGAATATCGTCAAAGAATCCTAATGTTACGTGCACACCTTCTCGACTGCAGCTTCTGATTTTTCCTGTGATAACATCCCCTATCATGGGACGGAATACTATGTAGCGGAAATTGACTTCCGTGTGAGAGGCACCGTCTCCGGGCAGGATAATAGAATCACCCAACTTTACAATGTCTTTTAATGCAATGCACAGGCCAACATTCAACAGGACCTACCACAGAGTGTTTAAAATTAAAAAGTTATTTTAGATCAATCCAACTACCTTAAAAAATCATTAATTTATTACCTTATTGGCCAACTTTCTATTGACTTCATCCTTGATTGCCTCCGGCAGCTTCAAATTGAAAAGTTCTGGAGCAATACGAACAGTATCCTTTAGTTCAGCTAGTACAAACATTGTGTGGTTCAGGTGATATTTTTACAATTAAACTTTGTGATCATAATTCAATTACATTAACAATAATTAATAGTAACGACGTTCCAGGATACAGCCGGTTTATCCTATTTATCTTTCACGCTTTATTCATCCACATGTAGGTAGGTATTTAAATATATTAAAAAATAATATAATATTTTCAGCTCAGCAAAACGACAAGTAAAACAAACACGGAAAAAACGTCAACTTCTTAAAAAGTACTAGAGCAATATCTAGAGGTACACTCAAAAATATTAGAACAAAAAAGGATTAAAAATTAACCAGTTTATGGTTTAACAATAGACCTTTTTGACGTTTAATAGCCCTAATAAAAATAACCATAAAAGAGAGCTTAACGACGTGTTCGCGGTATCATCCAAACTATTTGTGGGATAGTTTACCCATCCGGGATACAGTTCGTTTATGGTATTTGTTTATTAGGGAGTCTTTTTATCCAGCACACATGAATGAATGAACGGTTTGTTTTCCCACTAATCTGTTTGGATATGTTACATTGGTCTATTTGAAAAGTGACGCGAGAGTTGACAAATCAGGCATAACATTTGATAACGGCACAAAAGCATTTGTAAACAAAATTTCTAGGCCTTTTACACGCGAACCAAAGTACGCTAACGCAAACCAATACCACTTTCGGAAAGGTGATAGTTGCCGCTATCCGATGATGTTGTTGGTTTGCGTGGGCGTACTTTGGTTCGTGTGTAAAGGGCCTTAGAAAGTTTGTTTACAAATGCTCTTGTGCCGTTATCAAATGTTATGCCTGAAATGAACAACGTCGATTGGATTGATATCAATGGGGTGGATTGTACCCAAATTTGGGTAGTTTTGAAATAGCGTGTACTATCTTACTTTAGAAATCGTTTTTGGTTCAGTGCAGTTCAGCTGAAAAGCTGGAAGTACTAGATTTGACATTTTGCTTTAGTTTCTTTTCATAACAAAACCGCGTGTGAATCTATCGAAAACACTGTTTCGGATCTCTTCGCGTGCACGGACAATACGAAATGCAGGTGGTCACATTTTAAATTCCGAAGATTCCGAAAAATCTCCAGCTCAAGTAGCTTGACGCAAAAGTGATAGGGAAATATATTTGGTATTAACAATGAGTGCAGGTCAGTTCGACGATGCGTTGGAGGACACAACTGAGTCGTTGAATATCATCAATCTCAAAAAGACAGTTCCATCTGAGGGGATTCCTGGAGAAAACCCAGTTCCGATCCCTTCTACAGAAGTTGCCATAGCTGATGCTATCTTCGGTAACTCGCGATACCGAGCGAAAGAGCAGTATTCTGAGGACGATGAAGATTACAGCGGAAGCGATGATGAGTACTACGGCTTCGATGTGGACAATGTGCGAAAGAATCAGGCGGCAAACATGCAGCAATCGCATAGCAATGTTCAAAGTTCCAGCCAGAAAGTATCCAACTTCCAACCTGCCGATGCCTTATTTAAGAAATTTACGAACAAAATAAACGTAGAAAAGTATGAAGGACCAATGGCACTTCCTAATCATGCTAAAAATACGTTGATAGAAACCCAACGGAAGGCGGACAGTGATCGACTTCGAAGTAAAGATAAACAGGACCGGGCCACGGCGGAGCAGGTCATGGATCCGAGAACTAGAATGATTCTCTTCAAGCTGCTGAATCGCGACATGATTTGCGAGATAAATGGATGTATCTCGACGGGCAAGGAAGCGAATGTTTACCATGCCACCGCGAAAACTGGAATGGACTACGCCATCAAAATTTTCAAAACTTCAATTTTGATCTTCAAAGACCGCGACAAGTACGTAACGGGTGAGTTTCGTTTTCGACACGGTTACAGTAAACATAATCCCCGAAAGATGGTACGGACATGGGCCGAGAAAGAGATGCGGAATCTTGTACGCATGAAAAAGTGTGACCTGCCCGTGCCGGAACCGATTCTGCTCCGCAGTCATGTTCTCGTGATGGAATTCATTGGGAAAGATGGATGGCCAGCACCAAAGCTCAAGGATGTTGAATTGAGTGGATCGAAAGCACGTGAATTATACCGCGATGCAGTTGAAATGATGTGGGCGATGTACAGTAAATGTAAGCTGGTGCATGCCGATTTGTCCGAGTTCAATCTTCTCTACCATGATGGAAAAATTGTCATCATAGACGTGTCGCAGTCCGTAGAACATGAACATCCCCATGCTCTGGAATTTCTGCGTAAAGATTGTAACAATATAACGGATTTTTTCCGGAAAAAGGACGTGTCCACTATGACGGTAAAGGAACTGTTTGACTTCATTACCGATCCTACCATTACGGAAGAAAATATGGAAGACTGTTTGGAAAAAATGTCGGAAAAGATCGCCAACCGTAGTTTTGATGAGTTCACAGAACAGGAAAAACTTGAAGAAGCCGTTTTCAAGCAAATATTCATTCCCAAAACGTTACACGACGTGTACGACATCGAAAGGGATATCTTCGGAAAGAAGAACAAAGATGATTTGGTTTATAAAACGATTACGGGTTTGGATGCAAACTTAAAGGTGGCTGAAAATCCTAAAATTCTACAAGAGCAAAGCAGTGAAGGTGTGTATTTGAGCAGAAGAAAGTCATCAGCAGTTATTTTTTCATTCTTTAATTCAATTTATTTGCATTCTAGATCGTCCATGTGAAGGTGACCCAGCCCAGGATGAGGATAGCGAAAGCAGTAATTCAGCAGATGACGGTGAAAATGACGGAGAGTCTAAACAATCCGGAGCCGTTCGAGACAAAAACGAAACAGCAGAGGAACGCAAAGCCCGCAAAAAAGCCGTTAAAGACGAGCAAGCCGAAAAACGTAAAACAAAAGTTAAAAAGCACATAAAGAAACGAAAAGAGAAGATGGGGGCTAAAAAGTGAAACAAAATCACGGTGTATAGTAGTGATATTTTCCAATTAAAAACAGTTTATTCCTGCATAAGTACGGAAACTAGCTAGTTTTAAATGTTGTCATCCTTGTATTTGGTTCGATAAGTTTCTCAGGAAAGAAACTTCCTTTGAAAAAATGTTGTATAAAATTACAATTATTCATTTTCACCCGTGGAATGTAAAACTAATGCTATTTCTATAGTACGCGCATAATATAGCATTACCCGAGTAAAACTATGTCGATAAAAAAAAATCAGCCCTTAAAATTGGTTTGCCTACAAAAGATGATCACATGTGTTTGTCATGGATGTTAGTTACATCGGCAATCGTCGTCTATTCTCACTGGTAGAATCTCCTCCGCAGACTAAGGTAGCACAGCAATCGATAGAAGAGCGTCATTGTAATCAATATGCACAGCTCAAACTGCAGTGTCGTATTGTCTATCCGCACGTAGTGCAGCAGGACTTTGGGATCATCGAAATGGCAGTACATTTCGTTGCAATCCAACCGCTGGCGATTGTATCCGAAAACTACCAATACGACGGACACGACGCCTCCCCGAATGAAGGATGCACGCATCAGCCATTGCATTATTGCCGGAATCTGAGGTGCGAAATCGAACCCGTAGATGGCCAGTCCGAGGAAAGGTGCTATCGTTAGTGGACCGATCGCTGATCCATTCTGAAATAGAACAAAAATGTGTACTTCCAGATATACAAGTGAGGACATAATTGGCACTTACCATCACATTAAACGTGGCCCCGATCATTAGGCCGAATCCTTCGGCGCATAGCGACACGAGCATACCGACGGCTGTGAAGAGTGCATAACGGAAGAACTCGGCTGGTAGTCCTGCCAACCAGTATACGATCATGGTGAAGATTACATTTAGGAATATTTGAACCGGCAGTCGAGACAACGTCAGTGCTAGGTAGTAAGGGAACAAGCCGTACCAGCGGTTGAAGCATTCCTTTTTCACCAGTTTCACCTCGCGTGGATCTGTAAGTATTCATTTTTGTAATACATAATGACCTTTCCGACATTCGAAACAAGGGTTCGGAGGGGCGAATAAAATATATATAAAAAAAAAAAAACAATAAAACATGAAATATCAAAAAGTATTTCAAATTTCAACCAACATAAATTATTTCTTAGCGTGTGATTTATTTGCATATTAATCAACCGTGGCTTGTGGCTCCGAACAATTGCAAGGGCTATAGCCTGGCCGTGTGCTGTGGAATTTCCTATGCACATGAGACAGGCATGTTTCCATCAGTGCATGTATTGTATAAAAATTAAAATCTTTTAAATAGTTCATCGAGAAAAAACAAACTGACACCACCTTATGAAGAACATTTTAGCAAGGCTTCATAATAACACAAAATGGCATGGTTTGAAAGTATTAAAAAAAAACTATAAAATACGTACTGGATTCGTTTCGTTACAAGGCCTAACCACCCTCGTAACCACCTACATAGTTTTGCAGATCCGTGTCATTTATAGCTCCTCGCGAATCTCATGCACGTGTCCAGAAAAACGCAAAGTGTAGTGTATGTAGTATGTATCGATTGTTATATCGCGGGAATCACCAGAAACCGTTTGGTCAAAAAAAGGCGAAGATATGACGTTTTGTTATTGTTGTTCTTGTGTTTTTTACTCATTTCGGTAACGGTGGTGGCGCGGCTGTCCAGTAACTGAGATTGAAGTAACACATTAAAGAAAATAGAATGAACAACCGTTGTTTTTTTAGCGTTCCCAGAGGTGTTATAACGGTGCGGTTGGAACAAATGGAGCAATCCGGGTCAACATTTAGTGAGATCCATCCATTTAATAAAAATTAAATTTATTCCAGTACATAACATAAAATGCATTTATAAATGCAACAAAATTCAAAAATTAAATACGACAGGGCATCGTTTGCTGGCTCTACGCGCGGCAGCACCTAATTGTGGGTTTCTCCGATACCCGACTTAAGCTTCAGGTGGATGCAGTGGCTCTTCTTTTCCTTCTATTCCTCAATAGATAGTGCGAATAAGGGCGTCTGATGCGTTGTGATCAGTGAAGGAAATCAAGCGAGCATGATCCGATTTCCAGTTTGTCGTAAACTGTACAGATCGTGATCTATGTACAAACTACGACCAACGATTAGTCCTCTTCCAACTTGAAAAAAAAGCTATTGCATAGGAAGTTCAAAGATAACAAATCCATTGTTAGACTGAGTAATGCTTAGAGAAGTGTTACCGTTTTCGCTCATTATATTATACACAAATCGCAATATGTGCTTATTTCACGGGACGAGAGTAAGTGTCTCTCTATTATTTTCATGTGAGTATTATTAATTGGCCGTTTGGGGTTACAGCCCAAGTAACAATTCAGTAACCATTTAGCATCCACTCTGATTTATTATGGTTTTATAACGGCAATGAACAATCCATTTAGTTTAAATATAGCATTTCGAAGTGTAAAACATTCCCGCTTAGTAATTCAGCTTTTTGCTGTTTTAAAAACCTTCTATAATCTGGCAAGAAAGTCAAAAACTGTCTTGTTTTAAAAATAAATTTAAAACAGTTATCAATCCCTCCTTAAAACTGTTCTGCAATTCAAGCATAAACGTCATTAGCAATTGTTTATTAATGTCTTGATAAAATACTTTATAAACGTGTTCTATCATTATAAAAGCAACCACAAAACCAGTGATGGAAAAGTTCGCAAAAAATCACTATGACTCACCTGTGGACTTACCCTTAGTGAACTTCGTGAAACATCGCGAACTTTTCCAACACTGCACAAAACCATTAGGTCTTGCATTAGACCAAAAAGCATTTATTGTTGCTTTTTAGGCTTTTTAAAGTGCATCATTAACTCCTCAATTACTCTGTTTACAAATTGAGCTTTAAAGATGGTTCCTCATAGTTAATAAATTCCAAATTTATGACAAGGAAATCTCGAAGGATAGACGTAGTGTGATAAAAAATCAAGTCAATTTCAGATAAATTTACTTCTATAGAAGAACCAGCATACCACCAACAATCAATACGAAACTAACGATATCAAATTGGCTCACTACTTGACTAGCCTAGTGGTCCCAAGCAAATCGAGTAGCGTACCCCATTATAGTATAAATTCCAGTACTACACTATGTTTGTTTTGATTCGCTATGAAAGTTTGACAGATAAAATGAGGGGTTAGTTGATTTTCCTATCTTTCGAGGGGTGAATCGATTAGCTTGGAACCGAATATAGTACCAGAGCTGAGCCAAAAAGTTGAGCTCGTTTCTTCGGGACCTACTAGTCTTGATACCACCAACGACGGAGAAGAGTAAAGTGAGCAGAGCCCTCGAACTCATAAAACATTGTCGAAAGTTGAAAAACATACCAGCCTTCTCCAGATCTTGCGATGACAATCGAAATAACAACCGACAGCAAACCACTGAAACTGTTAGTTAGCGGAGATTAGCTGGTTTAAAAAAGCAGCGATTTTATTCGGTGAAAGAATCAACTCTTTGAAAATTTCATTCAAGCGTATTTCATTGGATGTTGCACTTCTGTAACTATCCAAAAGAAGGGGATCTTTTTCGGGAACGATTGCGCTTCCAGCTGTCCGAAATGCGAAATGTTGTAAAACAGTATCACAAACTATCTGAGTAACTGCTCCCAATTCATCGGGAGAAAACGGCCTGGAAGAATCGTGGATCTCACAGCGCAACTATCAAAAGATAAACAAACTTTGACGTTTAATTTTTTGCAGGCAACTTTGCCTCCATAAATGCTGCCATTAAGCTGAACGGGTTAGGATCAAGCAAAATGGCCTTGGATAAATACAATTCAGCCTGCAAGCTTTCCTCATAAAAGCCATTTTAAAACCTTATTAATTTGTTAAGGAATTCTTGGAAGCAAAACAACTCTTTCACAAATGACCCATGAAAATCAACTTTTATGCCACCGCCATGTTACAATTAGTTTGCTTGTTTTTTTTTACAATCTTCGATTATCAATCTATATTTCCTTAGATATAACTATATTCTGATAAATTTAGCAATAAGCAAACATTTAAATGCGAAAATATTAAAAAAAATCTCGGCCAAGCTCCATCTGAAGAATATATTTTATTTTTCAATGTTAAATAATTAGTCAAATCGACGTTTTACGAGGGTGTACTTAATTTTTTCGATGTTTTCACGTACATTTCACATAAAATTTAATATGGCTCTTAATGAGAACTATTGTAATAAATTTGTCAACAAGATTTTTATACCATCAGTTTCTATTTTAATAATTTTGATAGGATCGGATTCATAAATCCTTTTCTATCTTGATTGATGCTTTCCTAGTGGATTCAGCATGCGGCTAGCGGAAATGGCTCGGAAAGGGTTTTTATTGTTGCTAAATAGCTTTTATTGTAGCTTTCAAATGGTTCTCAATGCGTTCGTCATACAACCTTTTACAGTAAATTAATCTTGAAGAGCTTCGAGAATACACCCTTCAGAAGCTTCTCCAGGGTGGGCCAACTAGACATATTCTAGTCTTAATGAGTTTTTGATGCATGCATTAATTACAAAAGAGCCTTGACCAGGGTTTTATGAATGTTGTTTTATAGTTGCTTTGTAGTATTTCATAAAACTTAAAATGTTACTTGGGAGAGTAAAGCAAGCAACAGCAGATAGGGCCTGATCATCGGTAACTTTTAAAGCGAACCCCACACGTACATACCCACACCCCACACTCAATGTATTGATGCGGAGATGAAGTATTCATAATAATATTGATGATGCGAATACAGAAATATTGTCAATATCGATGTATTAACGTCAATATAGAATGTATTGACAATACGATTATTGTCAAAAAAAGTAGAAAGGTCTGTGCCTAGGGGCACGAACGGAAGCTTGACGTAGGACCGCTAGTGGACGGAATAAATGTGAAGAGCATTTAGTTCTTTAATTGATCAATTATCTATTATCTCAACTCTTTCCGTTTTTGAATTGTAGGCGTACCAAATTTGTAGTAATTTTTTTCAAAGAGAAAGTTGATTAAGAGAACCAATCAAAATCACTTCCACCCCTGCTTTCAAGTTTGGTTACAAGATTTCAACTCTGGAGAGCATTTTGTGTGGTCGTTGGGGGCTTGTGGTTCTGAATATGGACAGACAAGCACATATTAATTCTATTCCAGCTCTT